GTTGCTGGGTCTTCTATGCCAATTGTCTTCATATCTGTTTTTACGCCAACACCATACTGGTTTTGTTACTATAGCTCTGGAGTATAATTTGACAATGGGCATTCTGATGTCCCCAGCATTGCTCTTATTACTCCAAATTGCTGAGAAAATCAGGGGAGATTTTAATGTGGAGCCGCAAATAGTGGGAGGGATCTCCTTAGTGATTTTTCAAATTATGAAAATAATAATTGGGTATATGACTGCACATATTGTGCAACACTACATCATGTACAACCAGAGAAATGAGAAGTTGTGCTGCAACTGTGTACAGTGAATCAAAATGCATTCTGCTGTCATATAGACCTAATTAGAATAAATAAGTTAATTTATTTTAAAAAATAATAACTTGAATTCCTTTTATTTTTTAAATACATGACAGCTGACTGCATCACCATTCTTATTACACATATAGAAAAGTTTTTCATATCTCTGTATATAAAGTATGTTCACACCAATTCATGCCTTCCTACATGTACTTTGTTTTTTGTTTTGTTTTGTTTTTTTCCTACATGTACTTTGGATAATGATGTCCATCACATTCCTCCATCATTGCTAACCCCCTGCCCCCTCCCCTCCCCAGCCACCCTTCTGCCCTATCTAGAGTTTGTCAATTTTTAAAATTATAGACAACTGGGACGTTGCTTTGAAGGTGATACTGGGCCCCATGGAACACTGGAGTATGGATCACTTTGTTTGGGTAGAAAGGGGTAATCTAGGATTTCAGGCCCAAGATTCACGGCCAGCTGCAAATAAAACAATCCTTTTAGATCTTCATCAGAGGCAATTTTGCCACCCCTTCCCATCTATGCGTTGGGTTCCATCAGTATAACTGTTATCATTCTCATCTTCCTATGACAAAATCAAAGACATACTGTAGAAATAACATTGAACTTGTAATTACAACTGTAGAGGCATTGTAAAGGTTAGGAATTCGTGTTTAAAGCAAAAAAACTATAATCACATGGCATTTTGTGAGTTCGCTGAATTAAATACAGTTCTAAAAAGGAATCTTCCTTGTTACATTGCAGACAAAATTAACTTTCTACCACAAAAAGGTAAATAGGCAGTTTGAACATTTGCATTTACTTTCACTCTCTAATAAAGTAATTAAAATAACTTCAAAGGGATTTTTTTTTTTTTTAGGTTATGGAAAAACAAAAGAAGAAACAAGAACAAAGACTCATACAAAGGCTCTGTAGACTCACAAACTTGACCTGAGCTGACACTGGGAACAGCAAAAACCCTCTGGCTTATACCACGGGATCCGTGTCTACAGACACCCTCTTGAGTACAGGCTCACATTAGGATGAGGGCAATCTGTTCATGAAGTGGTCAGATCTCTAGATTCTCTCCCTATGCCCTGAGTGAACTGACCTTCACCACTCCTGAGGGGGCGAATGGGGGCTGTGTTGGGAGAGACGTAGCTGAAGGTAGGATTGCCAAAATGAACTTTCATTTTCATGAAAATATATGTGCTCCCATTGGCTCCCAGAATGCCAACAGAGAGCCATTCTGACGGGAGATGAGAGGATGTTTCCTGATAAATATGATCAGCCCAGAGATAATTCTCCCCAACTAAATTATTGGGTTTAGTAAGATTATTCTGTAGTGGAGCTCTGAGTCACTAAACACCGCTGACATCCTACTTAGTCCCCCCGCCCCCCAAAAAAAGAAGTAACATGGGAATAATATAAATTTTAAAAATGTAATAATGTGGAAAGAAAACTGCAAGAGGCTGCAAGTCTCCAGGAGAGGTGTCCTCAGGCAGACGGAGTGGATGTGCTACCTGGTACACCTGACTATCTCCAGAGCAGACATCAGGGGAGGCTCGGGTCACCAGGGGAGGGTTCAGGCTAGATGGTCTGTAGGTTCTGCCTCAGTCTCTTCAGGCTGCCAGAACAAAACAGCACAGACTCGCAGTTCACAACCATAGACATGTTCTGCTCACAGTTCTGGAGAGCGGAGGTCGGGAATCCAGGGCCCAGCATATCTGGCACCCGGCGAGGGCCTTCTCTCTGGATTGTATCTGGTGCTTTCTCCCTGTGTCCTCACGTGGTGAAGGGGCCAGCGAGCTGTCTGGGCCTCTCCCCAAGGCACTGGTGTCATTCAGGGGGTGGCGCCCCCCATGCCTGATGGCCCCCAAGGCCCCACCTCCAGGTCCACTCACCTGCGAGGGGGACACTCGGACACTTGGACTTGGTGGGCACACACAGAGCACAGCAGGCACGTGGCAAAGGAGCGGGAGAAAAGTGCCCACCACCAAACAAGTTGATTCTCGACCAAAAATGCAGGGGGGAAAAGAGCAATCCCAGAGTGACCCCAGGGCCAGAGGCGCTGAAGAGTTCACAAGTGGAGGGGACTCTGCACAGAACCCTGTTGGGAGGTGGAGATGTGGACAGGGCCACCCAGTGCCACCCGGTGCTGTGTGATGCTGTGTGTGCACAGCCAGCCCCACAGCACCCAGCTCCCTACGGACAAGCCCTGTTTTCCATCTTCCCTCCCCTGGGGATCTGTGTGTGCGCTGTGTCCTATGGTAGTGTGTGGCATGTGTATTTGTGGTGCGCGTTCGCTGTGTGTGTGTGTGGTGTTTGGTGTGTAGTGTGTGATGCCATGTGTGTAGGCTGGATGCGATGGATACGGCTGTGTGTGCTGTGTCTCTGTGCAGAGTGTGCTGTGGGTGTGCAGTGGTTCCTGTGGTGTTTCCAGTTACAATGGCAACAGCGGCTGCTTTCAAGTCCACGGTGACCAGCACTTCCTCGGGTGTGTGCTGCAGGGTCCTCCTGCGGTTCACCTGGGACCTTCAGGAGTCCCGAGGAGTGGCACCTGCCCCCAGGACTAGGGCTCAGGGAGCAGCCTGGTTTTTATTTAAAATGCCATCACCCAGGACTCAGTGGACCGACTCCAGCAGTCTGCCCACAGGACAGCTTTGGGGGACTCTGACGGCAGGGCGCCTGCCCCCGGGCAGTCTTGGCCAGATGCAGTCTGCATTTCTCACCACGCTGCCCGCCCCGCTGGCCTGGGACCACACCAAGGTGGCAAGTGGTGAAGATGACAAGCAGGGCACACTCCCTGAAAACACAGGGCTGCCCTCGTGGAATGTAGAGTACACCAAGGCACCCACCGCGGCTCTCCTGCGGGGGACAGGGTGTTTCTGTTTCTCGCGGTGGCGACACGCAGCTTTTGTCACACAAGTCACACGTGGCACTTTCAGGAACAGCACCAAGTTCTACAACTCTCTGAGAGAAGGCAGGATATTCAGAAAAACCTGTGGCTACGGATGGGGTGTTGAGGATGTGTCTCCAGTCACGGCACTTTAAATGGTCCATCACTCTCCCTGCCCAGGCCACGGCTGCGGGTGGACGGTCCACGCCCTCAGGGTGGCTCAGCCATGGCGGCCTCTCCCTGGACACCTCCTTCCTTCCAAGAGCCTCAAAGCCCACAAAGAGGCCCCAGCAGAGCTCCCAGGTCTACAACCCATGACCATCCGCACAGGACTTGGGCTCCCATCGGGCAGTTCACTAAGAGGAGGATGCTTGTTTGTTTTTTGGTTTATTTTTGAAGTCTGGCTGTGGTACGTACACACACAGAGAGAGAGAGAGAGAGAGAGAGAGAGCGCTTGGACATTCTACATACAAGAGATGCCCATTCTCAAGAATATGTGACCAAAAACACTGTAATTGAACTGGGTGCGGTGGCACGTGCCTGTAATCCCAGCAGCTCAGGAGGCTGAGGCAGGAGGATCACAAGTTCAAAGCCAGCCTCAGCAACTTAGCAAGACCCTTTCTTAAATAAAAAGGGCTGTGGATGTGGCTCAGTGGCTAAAGGCCCCAGAGTTCAATGTCCAGTATCAAAAAAAAAACAAAAACAAAAACACCCATCATAATTAAGTGAACATGCTATTTCTTGGCTTGGAAGACACAATTTATTTTGGAGGAAAATACTGATCACATTAGCTCCATCAAGTAGTCAATACTGGATCCACCAGATCCCAGTGAAGCAGCATCTTGGTTTCCAGTGGAGAGAAGTTAACTGACAGAGCAGAGTTGAGAGGTGGAAATGAGGCTCCGAGTCCTTGCCTGTCCCCAGCTGCACCGTGCACTACCACACACACCGCTGCCTGGAATAACCCAGCACGTTCCTCACTCCCCGCTCCTCATCTGGGAATGCCGGGATTCCTGGGTCCCAGCTGAAGGACCCAGCAAGCCAAGGGAACCCACTGGGTGACAGTGGGCATCTGGTACCCTCTCAGTTCCAATCAGTCGGATCAAAACAAGATTGGGAAAGAACAAGAACGGCCACGCATGAGGCCAGTCCGCAGGCGGCCGTGGGGGAGCTGGGATCTGGACCACGGACAGCTTTCCTCTTATTGGGGGGGGGGTTAACTAATGGATTAGAATCTTTCAAGTAATGTTGAGATTTCACCTTGAATACAGTGGAGCGTGTTGCCCAATGACAGGGACACACACGGGAAAGGCACTGCTAGGCAACTTCATCACTGTGCCAACATCACAGACGTCACCAGGGGAATAGGAGCTTCTTCCCCATTATGATCTTATGGGACTGTCATCATCTGTGCTGCCCATCACTGACTGGAATCTTATGAGTGGACATTTCATTTGTTCTAGGTATTTACAATGTTATTAAAAGTGTGAGAACGTGCAAAGGGAAGAAAATTATTCCAAGAAGGCACATGATTAAAAACTACCACCTCTGACAAACAAACTGGTATAAGGTTCGGACTCCCAGAATAACTCACAACATTTCTTCAAAGATTCTAATCCATCCAGTTGCTACTTTTCTACTCGGTTTGGAATAAGAATGAAATTTCTCAGGTATAAATATTTGTTTATTAAAGCACACAGTCAGGCTGGGGATGTAGCTCAGTGGTAGAGAACTTATATAACATGGGTGTTAGACAAATTCGATCCCCAGGACTGACAAAAAAAAACCAAGAAACCATATTGTATGCAAACTTGTTTAATAATAAATAGAGTTGTGAAACCATATAACACATATCGTTAAAATGATAGATGGCCAGAAAAATTCATCCATAAACTGATCACTTTACCTGAAGAGACTTGTACAAATAAAATGTTTGCATAGATCTCCAAAGCTAGGCAAAGAATAAAAATTACTGTCACGTAGCTACAGGATCCAAACGGAGCAGGAGGTATTTTTGCTTGTTTTTTTTTTCCTGAGCAACATTTACTTTCTGCCACGGCTTAGCACTTCTGCTCTGAAATAAAATCAGATGCTGCATAGAGAGAAAGGGAAAAAAACGGGCTCCTCTTTCCCCTCGGGGGGTTTGCACTGAAGGAGCCGCCCCGTCCAGGCTCTGTGGTCCCTTCTCCCGGTTCAACCTGAGAAATTCTGGAAGACCTCGGCCGCCTCCACCCAGCTCTGGAAGCAGGCCAGCCCCCGCTCCCGGATCTGCTTCCGCCCTTTGCTGGTGATCACCTCCCCGTTTGGTTTCAGGATCACGAGCCTGGGGATGGCGGTGATGTCGTACCTCCTCTTCAGCTCGCTGCAGGAGAGAACAGGGTAACCAGAGGGTTAGCACTTCTGCACTTCTGCACTCACATCGGAAAGGAAGGGGCCCCACCCAGGGGACTGGCTGGCAGGAGAGCCCGCTGCCAAGGAGACCGCCTGCTGGGTTGCCAAGTAACTTTTCTACTTGTTGTGACATTTCTAAGCCAGTCCAGACCTGGAGAACCACCCATTTGCAGAACTGTTCTTGGTCTGTGCAGCCCAACACAGTGGCCACCAGCCGTGTAGGCAGAAGGGTGGCAAGTCAGACGGAAGAGCAGAACTTCTCGTTTGGATTCACTGCTAAATTTAGCTGTCCCCCTCCCCCACACCCAGTACTGGGGACTGAACCCGGAGCCTGGCTACATGCTAGGCAAGCACCAGACCACTGAGCTTCGCCCCCGCCCTGTCCATTGAAATGGAAGCAGCTACAGGTGGCTGGTGACTACAGCATGGGACAGTTCAAAATGCACAAGTAAACCCAGCAGCGTTTTCTAGTCTTCTCTCAAGAGAAGGAAAATATCGGGTACACATCGTGGCAAGATAAAATTCGGCGAATTCCAAAGACACCCGAAGCCTATCAGACTCCACACCTTACAAGTCCAGTGATGCATCAGCTGATTCGGTGGTGGACGGAACATTTCTCACTCCCCTTCACCTCACCTCCAACCCTGTGAGAGGCCTTTTTACAACATTATTTGTGTTCATTTAGGGAGAGAAGCATCAGCCTCCCTAATTCTGCAGGGGTCCCCCCATCCTTCACAGGGGTTGACTCCCTCAAGATGGGGGCAGGCAGGGGATCCACCCCTGCTCAGGCCAACAGTAATGGGATTTCCTTCATCTGCAGCCCCGGGGTCAGGAGGCTGAGAGGAAGCCAAGCCGCAGCTGACCTTCCTATCACCAAGCCCGACACTTCTAACAAGGCTGCCAGGACCCTCCAGGACCAGGTCAAAGGTCAACCTTCATTCAAGCATAAAAAAATCCACGTCCCTCACACTCCAGGAGAGGGTACCATTGTTGTCAAACACCTGGGAACCTGGGAACCAACTGTATTCTCAGCCACAAAAGTGGTCTCGACAAATTTCAAAACTTGGCTGGATCAGACGATCGTGTAACGGACTTGAAAACCAGTAAGCAAGCACGATTGAGAAGGAGTTTGAAAACTAACCATTAACGGGGGCCGTGGCACGCACATGTAATCCCAGCAGCTCGGGAGGCTGAGGCAGGAGGATCTCAAGTTCAAAGCCAGCCTCAGCAACTGAGCAAGGCACTTACAACTCAGTGAGGCCTCTTTCTAACGAAAATATTTAAAAAGGGGCTAGGGATGCGGCTCAGCGGCTAACTGCCCCTGTTCAATCCTGTTACCAAAAAAAAAAAAATTAAATTAAAAACTAACTATATATTGTACGTGAAATAGCCATTTAGATTAAAAAATATTTAGAACAGTATCCAAAGGCTTCTCATCTATGGGTTGAGCCAGACTTGAGTTGAAAATATTCCTAAAAAAAAAATCACATCTGTGTTGAACATGTACATACTGTTTTTCTTAGCATTTTCTAAACAATAGAACAACTATTTACAGAGCATTGGCCTTGTGTTAGGTTTTGTGAGTGATCTGAAGATGATTTAAAACCTACTGGAGGATGTGTGTAGGTTATATGCAAAGTGTCCCCCTCAAAACCTCACGTGTGAGAGAGTGGAAAACAATTTAGAGGTGAAACGACTGGGTCACGAGAGGTTCGACCACATCAGTGCACCTGAATGGGTGGTGACTGTGAGCAGGTGGGGCTGGCTGGAGGAGGCAGCGAGACGTGGGGGGGGGGGTTATGTTTTGTCCCTGGTGAGCAGAGCTCTCTCTGCTTCCTCATGCCCAAGTCCTGAGCTGCTCTCCTCCTCCACACCCTTCTGCCACCATGTTCTGTCTCACCTTGGGCCCAGAGCCCTGAAGTGGTTCTCTGTGCATTGTGACCTCTGAAACCGTGAGCCCCAAATAAACTGTTCCTTCTCCACATGGCTCTTGTCAGGTCCTTTGGCCACAGTGACAAAGAAGCTGACTAAACGCGAATGCCAGGCTACTACAACATTTTATACGAGGAATCCGAGCATCGTTGGATTTTAGTACCTTTGGGAGTTTCTGTGACCAATTCACCCTGGATACCGAGGTACAACTGTACAAATGCAAACTGTATACACCAGCAAACACACTTAGGAAGCTATACCTTAGATACACTTATCCAAAACTCACACAGCCTGGAGTCCCAGGTACTCGGGAGTCTGAGGCAGGGGAATCACTTGAGCCCAGGAGTATAAGAGCAGTCTGGGTAACACAGCAAAACTCAAATGAAAAATGCAAAGCTCACATATCGATGAGTCATGTATTTAAACTCAAGAAGCTGAATAACGATGGAGGAAATGCAAAGAAAACAGAAAAAAAAAAAAGGCAAAACGAGAAATAAGTGAAATAACAGAAATAACCGAAAAAAGAAATGAACCCATGAAAGTCAATATGGGGGTTTAACCTAAGAAGTGCATTAATCCACTTGAATAGATTAACTGGGGTGAGGGGGGTGTTAAGCAATAAAATCCCATTTGATTCTTTGGAAATTCTAAAATGTGAAACAAATCTTTACTGAGACTGAGCAAGAGAAAAGGAGAATACCTAAGAATGTCAGGAGTCGGGCAGGTCAGCTCGCACGTGGGCCCACCACGGACTTAACCCTCCTCCTGGGGGTACTGACAACAGGGTCCTGGCCCATCCTGGGGTGGTGTCCCAGGAAAGGGACAATTCACACAGCCTTCACCCCAGTCTCTCTAGGAGCCCTCCCCTGTAATGTCCATCAACTGACTCACAGAAGGAAGAAACAGCAAAGGTGGGAGGAAGAAACATGTCAACTCTGTGGAACATTGGCCTGTAGGCTGAGAAAGAGGAAAGTGTGAGGAGGTAGTGTGAGACACGGCAGTCATTCTGCCACCATGAGGAGAAACTCAATTTGCCAGCCAGCCACTGCCTGTAGAGGACACTGTGCTAAAACTGTGTTGGCAAAGATGAGGCACCAAAGCCACAAACACAGAGCAGATGCAGATTCATGTCAAACTGCAGGTCAGAAACAGCCCGTCAAACTGAAACCCAGAAACCTCAGAGTAATGGGGCCCACATAGATCCCAGAACATGCTGTGGGCAGGAGAGATGTGGTGGTGGCGGGGTGTCCCTCCCCAGTGTTTTAAGAATTCTCTGTGATGCCTGAAACTTCAAGTCTAAGGAACCAACTTTTCTCAAAGGTAGGAAATTTTTAAAAATGAAGAGAAATAATCCAAAAAAGCTTTTTTAATGCTTTTTTGCATAAAAACTACAGCAAAATGGTAGTTTTGGCGAATGGGTTTTCTTAGTACCTGTGCTTTGGGTAGCAGGACTGGGCAGGGCAGAGTCCAGCAAGTTTCAGAAAGGGACTGAGGTCTGGCCCCAGCCACACCTGGCAGAGCTGTGACCCCAGGAACCTGGGACCTTAGCCAGGAACACGCAGCAAGCTTTTGGTGGGGAATCAACCAGTTAGGGGGGAGCAGCATCCTCCCCGCAGACCCCCGGGCCCACTGAAGGGTGGCCCAGCACCTGCGTTCCTGACTGGCTCCTGGGTTCCCTACAGCATTACTGCTTTTCTCAGTGGGGTCCCGGGGCAGAGCCTCAGGAAGACCCAGGGGCCCGTGACAACTGCAGTCCCTCTGACCCTGAGGGGCTGGCGTGGGGTTTGAATAGCCCTGGTGGCTCCCCCGGGTGTGCTCAGGGTGGCCAGCCCTGCTGGTCTCTCCCAGAACCTTCTGCATCCTCTCCACCAGAGCGGAGGGGGAAGAGGTGGTAAGGTGCTGGGGACAGTGCCCTTGACGGTGTACGCAGTGGTGGCCTGGGGTTCACTACTGGGCACCCTGACCTTCTCCCTCTGCTTTCTGGCATGGAGCGGCTGTGCGACGGAGGCAAGCTAATTGGCCTCCCTGTGCCTCAGATTCTTCACCTGCACCAGGGGAATAACTGAACCTACCTCCTAGGGTCGTTGTGAGGATTAAATGAATAATATGTGAACAGCCGAACAATAAATGGGGTTCCCCACACCATAACTGCTCAATAAACCCTTCCCACATTGCATGGGAAGGGCCTAACTCCAACGCCTGCTGGGCTGACTGCTCAGTGAACATATCCCTCGGTCCCAACAGCTGGTACAGACATGAGTAACTAGTGGACAAAGAATAAGTAAGGCTCCACAGAACATCTGCCTGTGTGCGGAGAAAGAGGAAAGTGTGAGGAGGTCGTCTGAGACACGGCAGTCCTTCTGCCACCATGAGGAGAAACTCAAATTGCCAGGCAGCTACTGCCTGTAGCCTGAGCTCAAAGAAGACATGGTAGAAGGCAGCCCATGAAGCTGAATCCTCAGCGGCCTCCAGCCTCCTGAAAGACTAGCTCCTGCCTTCAGAGTTTCATTTACGTCAGCCCATAACTTTTTTACTTAAGCACTGTGATTTTAATCACCTGCAACACTAAACCAAGTTCTGGTGCAATCAGAGGGACGTAGCTGGCTTTGAGGGACAAGGAGCCTAAGGCATCTTGCTTCACTTCAAATCCTCACCCCGGCAGCCTCTTCCTGGAAACAAACAGAACCTGGGAACCAAAGAGGAGAAGCAAACAGCCACTTTCCCCTGAAGTCATCTCTATCCCTCGGGCACTGCGCTGTGTCCACAGAGAACAGAAGGGCTTGGCACAGAAAAGCGTCGCGGACGTAACTCAGGAGGACTTTCAACCACTCTGGGAAAATCCCAGAGCCCCACTTGTCCTGGTCCTCAGCGCTGCTGCAACATCTGTCCCTCCTTCACCTAACCCAGCCACATCCTTGTCCCTGACCTGAGTGCTTCTGGTTACCATGGCGACACCTGACTGGCGTTTCTTTCCATCTTGGCCGGCAGCAGACTGTTGCCGGGCGAATCTCTCCAGAGCACCCTCTTTTGCTCACCTGTTTCAAAAGCCCACCCTGTGGGTACCAAGCTGCAGGCAACGGAAATCAGGAAACCCCGAGGGCTGGAGGAAGCTCCTGCTGGGCCAGAACTATCTTTGAACGAAGAGCCATTTAGATGGAGGACAGCAATCAGCGGACACTGTTAACAGTCCAGTGTCTGGAGGACTCAATGGATGCCTGGAGTCTAGAGGAGCAGGGAGTCACTGCACACAGGGCTGGAAGGAGGCAAGGGGTGGTGACAGAACCAAAACCAGGCTGCACAGGCACTAACTCCTCCCACAGCTCTACCCCAGCCACAGGAAGCCCTGGCCAGTGTGAGTTTTCCATCAGATAAGCTTAGCCTGCAAGGTGAGGTGCCCCGAGGGCCAGCCTGGGAGGCAGGGGCCAGAGGCTGGGCTCCCTCCAGACCCCCGTGGGGTCCACTCACATGCTAGTTCGAGAGGCCGAGCAGAATCAACCTTGTCATGAGACGACCGGATCATTATAAAATCCCCACAGATCAAGTGTCTTGTGGATGGCAGCCTGCAGCAGGAATCCCTGCTGGTGAAGGTAAACTTACTCTTTTTTCCTTGAGTTCGGCCCATAAACTTAGTCACAAAGAAAGGGAGAGGGTGAGGTAGGATGGAACCTCATCCTGAGGAAATGCCTCCAGGGAGCAATGGCATCTGTCCCTGGTGCCTTCCCCTCAGCCACCTGCCTTAGCACTGGCCAGGGAAATGGGCACTGGCCAGGGAAATGGGCACTGGCCAAGGAAATGGGCCAGAACTCTAGGGCCCCCGATACCAGCAATAAACAGCTACTTCTCTGGACTGCATATGCAACCTCAGGGAAAATGTCGGGGTTCTAGGCATCTTCTCCCCTCCCTATAGGTGCACCTGCAGCTGTAAGAGGGGAGACGATGTCTAGAACCAATCACACCAAGGGTAACCCCAAGGGTGCCCCACAGTGATTTCCTTGGAGGCCTCAAGTTTTCTCCTCCTCCATCTTCTTGAGGAATTCTTCTCAGGAATTCAGTGGACACTGTGATGAGCTCGGGCCCTTGGGAAAAGCAGGACAAGGGCCACTTCCCCCTCATCTACCAAGTGGAGCTTGTGACATCAGTGTCCTGGCCTCCTCTCAAGGGGACCAACCACAGGGTACTGCCTACTGCACACCTTAACAATTTCTCCCAATACCTCTTGGATGCTTTGTGCATTGTTTAGTGTTTCTTGGTGGTGGCTCTTTCCATTTGGCTCATGATCGGGTTTCATAAATCCACGTTGGGATCAGCAGAATTTAGGGCATGGCTCCAACAGTGCCCCCAGAATGTTCACTTGGCTTCACAGTCAATGCATGGCTACGCCAGGGTCGGGGCTGGGGACAAGATGCTAAGTTCACAGAAAGGAAAACCCCTCTGAGCAGGAGGGCAGACCAGGCAGAGACGACCAGAGCTTGGGGTCACCCTTACTCAAGGTGGCTCATCTGTCTGCAGCTAGAGCAACAGGCTCTGATCAGATGACCAGGGGTCAGATAATTCTGCATGGCCTCCTGAGCCCATCTGGGTGCCCCTGGGTGAAGCAGTTCATCACCTTCTAGGAGAGGAACGGAGTCAGGGCAGAAAGAGGGCCCCCAGGACCTGGAGAACTCTGTGCCTCAGTGACCTGTTGAAAATGACATGGACCAGAGTGCTGGTCCATAACCAGACCACTTCCAGTGGCCTTTTAATGGACCAGGCACTGCACTAAGGGTCATTCAGCTCAGCAGTAAACTCCCAACCTTCCCCCTGGGTGACACCAGAGCTCTCAGCCTGACGACTAACACTATCACCATCTCACCCTCAAAACAACTGTGTCCTTTCAAAACTGCACAGCTGGGGTAGGGGGGAAGTCCCATCAAACAAGCTGCTTGAAGAGATTCTCTAATGAAAGTTGATCAGCCATCACTGAGACACTGTCACCAGGAAGAGTCCTCACCCACCTCCAAGGCTGGCTTCCTGCCTGGATCCTCCACTTCATTGGGAATCACCAAAGAGCAAGGATTTGGGAGAATAATCAGACTTCCTCTAGTTAAGTACACCGCCACCTGGACTCCCCGAGGTTGACTTCCGTTTTTCCAGAAAGAATATCATCTCGGAGTAAGTAAGTTACGGGGTAACTTCACAAATGAATGAGTGACCCAAGGGGACAGTTTCAGGCCACAGGGAAACAGTCACATCTGTACTAGGAAGGGGGAGGGGCTAGAGCCATGTGCTCTGTGACCTGTGTGATTTAAACCTCCATCTAGACTCTCACATCACAGGAGACCACACAGGCAGGACAGTCAGCACCCTGCCATCTGCACCTCCCCAATCCCCTGACCCCTACTCCTCTCCAGTGCCCCTGCTGATCTAGTCAGAGCCTGTGAGCTCCAGCTGCAGCAGAGGAGCCGCTCTGAGCACGGGTGGCCCGGCTCTGGTCATCTCTGCTTGTGAAGCTTCCAGTTCCTTCCAAACTCAAACATGCAGCACAGAGGAGAGGATCTCAACAAGGGCGTGGGGGAGGGGGCAGGTCCCTTAGGAGAGCAGATTGTCGCTTCCAACATCTGCCTCCTCCAGATTCTTCCAACATTCACAGCCACGAAATGTACAGTAATGAATTCAACACCTTTTGAGATTCCTCCACCAGCGCCCGGGTTCCTCCAACCCTGGTTCCC